TTTCCGCCGTATCCGCTACAACACGCACGTGCGTCTGGCACACGTGCAACGTCGGCAGACGCGCGGTTTACTGCTCCTGCACCGTCGGGACTCGTTTACGACGCCGTATAGTTTGTACGGTACCGCCGTATCGTTTCGTACGCCGCCGTCGCGTATCAGTTTAACGCGTTACGTATCCCACCCTCTCGAGCGCGGCGCGTAAACATTTGCCCGTGTCTGGCCAGCGAGGAGCGTGACCTAGACTAAGCGAGTAAAGGGTTGGCGCAGGACGATGCGACGTAGCTGATACGCTTTCCCGACCTTATCGGCGGCTCGACGTTATCGCCAATTTGCGTCTCCACTCCTCGTGCACGTTATATGACATAATAAACGTAGAAAAAAAAAATAATAATAACATAAAAAGCGAACCTTTAAACGTCGCTTTTCTGCGATTACAGAGCAAGCGGCTAATGCCTGACAGGCTCTCTGCGATCGACACGCGAGTCGTTTCGCGACCGAATATTCCATATAGGATTTTATTCGCGACGAGACTCTAAAAAAAATTTTTTTTTTTTTTACATCCGATATTTTTACTGCAGCGCGTGTATAATAATATACGTTATTTATATTCAGCAAATATATTGAGACTTTTCCTATGCGATGCAAAAATTCGGAAAGGTCGTAAAAGTTTATCAAATTTTTACTTTATATAAAAATCCGACTAATCGGCTAATAGAAATAAACAAACGCGCTAATGAATAAATGCTATTAATATAAGCGATGATTACGTAAGCAAAGTATATATATATATATATGTATACGGCACATTAACGCGCGTTATCAGCAAGCAGATTTCCGGAGTCCGCGTTCAGCATCTAACGGTGTGCTTATCGCAGACGATTAATGCCGACTTTTCCGTGACCTCTCCTGGACGTGACTAATCGAGCGCGAATATCGAGCGAGCGTAAAACATCGCGACATATATATTCGATAAATTATGCATTCCGTCGTGCGTGCAAGTATGTCACTATTCGCTTGTTCTCCCGTACATTATATAAAGTTGTATAATATTCGCAGGTAGTAAGTGCATACAGTGTAAATGTGCATATACGCGATCCGCGTAAAAACCAGTAAAAATATTTACGCAAATTGCGCAGCTTCGCGCTTGAAAGCGGCATCGCGCAAGAGAAAGGGAGGGAGGAAAAGGGGAGGTCCATCCCCTATTAACCCACTTCATATCCTCTATGCGTATCCTTCCATTAACTTTTCCACCCTTTCACACATCTTCCCCTCCTCTCCTCCCCCTCCCACCCCCGAGGGGAAGTAAACCCTCTCCGACCGCTGGACAACTGTTGCTGCTAGTGCATCTATTATTACCGCATTACGATTTGTCGTCGTGCCACATATGTGCATATCGCGATCTTTATATATGCGTGTATGCAGAAGATTCTGTACATATGTATGCTCTCTCGCGTGTCTTCGCACACTCCTTTAACATGTCGGGATCCGCGGATTAATATTTGTAAATTTTACGTCAATTAGCAGTCTAACAATACGCGGTTATAATTTTTCGGTTATATATATATATTAATCGCGAGATCGCATTTTTCGCGAAGGGGCAAACGTGACGCCTGTGGAGGGTGTCATTAAAGATACGCATCTGCGTGCGCGACGGTACACCTTTATGCACCCGCACGAGAATGACAAATGCGTATATATGCACCGTGCACACACCGCGCACGTACCATCGTCTGGTGGCCTTATGCAAGCGATCGAAACGACCGAGCGACCAACCACCAACCAACCAGGCAGCCGGCTTTATTATTACGCGGTGGCACCGTGCAATTCGCGCGGGCCGGAGCTTAACGTTCGTAAAGCACGTAGGCATTATCGCGCGGAACAAGGGGTTCCTTTAATATTTCGATCAGCGCGCCCGCGAGTTATTATCCTCGCAAATCCTACCGCAGGCTGGCCCGCATGAAGACATTACACGAAAGGTACCAACCCGCCGAAACGTCCGAACCCCGTAATTACGCGAGAGAGAGAGAGAGAGAGAGAGGGAGACGAGAATCACGCGTGACACAAATAATTGCGCCCGTGTTAATTCTTATCGCGAAATTTCAACGGCACCTCGTAATTCAATGAATTAGCCTCGCGAAAAAACTATTAATCTTACCAATCACCCTTCTGTACATTTTTTGTTTATTCAGCGATTCACTAACTCGTATCTTTCAATATCTTGGAAAATATTTATTTTTTCCGTCGTATATATTTTTCATTTAAAAAAAATGTTAATCTAGGTTTGAAAAAAAATATTTTGCAGAATATTTAAAAGAGATACTCATGTTATTATTAATAAACTGAACACAAATTATCGAGTGTCTTAATGCAATTTCTTATCCGCTTAAATGATTTTACTTTTATTTAGATATCTCAGTATCTGTCTTATCGGAGCAAAGTGTTTGCGAAATCTTGAAAACGGAGAATAGAAGACGGTTATAGAAGAGAGGAGAACGGAATCTACGTCGATACCGTCTCGAGCGATCAATCATCCCTCTTTGAAGCGGGAACGACAACTAGAGTCGAAGATGCATCGATATTTATTAAGATATAGAGATTTTTCTGCAACATAACTTTGGCACTCGACGATGATTCACCAAGAAATTAATTGTACAGTTTAAACTCATGACGATTACTTTCGCACTTCTCTTACGGTAAAACCGGTCTCACCCAAACCAGTCTCATCAAAGTCGCGATCAGTCGACGGAGATTATCTAATTAGCTGATAAAAAATTTTTATCGTCGCCCATGCATTAAATATCATGTATAATATAGGTATGAATATTAATATATATAATATATTATAATTATGCATATTATTGTATACAACATATTATAATAAGAATATATATTCAATTACACTTAAATTGTGAGTTAAAATACTTGGAAATTTTTGCACATAAAATTTTTCGTGACATCGTATTCTTGATGTTTGGTCCAACAATAAATAATTAATATGCGTCTTTATATTTTAATCTACTTTTGAACGATCTTTGCTTTCGATCCGTAAGGCATCCGTAGATCACCAGCGCTTGTGTATACGAACGTATTAAATCATTCCTAGTCCGCGGAGAGTTCCGATTCTCCCTACGACGGAACAAGAACATTTCAGCTTCGATTCAGCCACCATTCATCAGCACCGATCAAAAAATGCGTATCGCGCACACGCGTATAATAGATCGCACCCGCGTGAGCGTTCGTGTTCATGAAAGATCTTTGGGGCGGTTTCCGCGATCATTAATAATGCCGAGACGGCAAGGTGAGCGAGAAAAACGTAAAAGAGAGCTGATGGGATAGAAAAAGGGTTTTTATCAACCCACGAGTCGTAACCAGGAACGACATCGGACTTCGTTACGACGTCGAACTGTCCATAATGCTTTGACATGCCATGTTCAAAATGTGGTACCGCACAAATATCTCGATGCTCGAACGAGAAGGTATCTCGACACGAGTATGCAAAGTTATGGAAAAATCATTCTTACTGTAAAACTTGAATAAGATCTGTAAAGTCAATCTTAGGACGCATAAGGTTGTAAAAAAAATTACAAGTAAAATAAACGGTAAATTTCTTGGTGAAATGAAGTTAGATACTGTAGAAAGATAAATCAAAGGATTGTGGCGTAGAAGATAAAAAAAAGTTGGCAGGACACAAAAAGCAATAGCGTGAAAAATAGAAAGAATTTCTTTAAATTTCACGGATTTGAAAAATTGTATTTTATGTCGCACGTATTCTCAGAGTTTTTACCGAAGATTAAAGTAAAGCGCTTTCTAGTATTTTTATTACTATGCATTATGCAGCGAAAAAGATAAGCCGCGAATATGAATTAAGGGATTTCTTGACGAGGCATATACAACCCACGATGAGAATTGATTTATTCAATCGCTTTATCGCGTGATCTATGACGGATTTCATGGTGATCGACGCGATATTCGTAAAGTCGACACGATAAACACACATACATAGACGGAAACCATGTGAAAAGGACATTGTTCCACCTACTGTGCGCGAGGAAACTACCGGTTCTCCGTGATTTATGAAGAAGAGAGGGTGCCCGCTGCTCGTACAGCACCGCATCTTCAGGGGTTCTCTCCTCCTCTTCAACGTCGCGCCTCGTCTTCGTACTCTGTCCTCGTCGCAGTGAAGTATTCTCCGTATGCAGCGAGTGCTCCAGTTCCCACGCGCGCGGCGAGGGTTACGCTCTCTCTCTCTCTCCTCTCTCCCTCTCTCTCTCGCTTTCTGTTTGCTCCTCTGACGAGAGCGTTCGCTCGCCAACCCATCCGCCGATGCGAATCATACCGCGCGCGGTATCTATGCGCCGTGCTGCACATGCATCCCGACTACGCACACCGCTACCCACTGATGCTGCACGTGGTGCATTAACATCGCCGGCTGCAACCCGGAAATCCGGACGTAACACGGGCTCGATGAAGCCCCTCCGTCCCGCGTGTTGATCTCGGGAAAAGCTCGACGATGCAAGACGCCGCAGGATCCTCTCGAAATTAACAATGTCGCCCATGGTTGTACGATTACGCTCGCGAAAGTTGCGCTAAGAGAGTATCCCCTGGAAAAGCTTGAATGTTTTTTTAATCATAGTTTCTTTAGTCGTGTCGACTCTCTGCCGAAATCCGTCATCGATCACGCGATAAAGCGATTGAATAAATCAATTATCATCAAGGATTATGCATTCATACTTGCGGCATATAATTTTTCACTGCATTGTGCGTAGCGATAAAAATACGAGAAAACACTTACTTTAATCTTCAGGTCAAATTTTTCTTCGACGAAAATCATTTTCAATCCTTTCGCAGAAACTATAAGAATACATTGTATATAACACGAATGGCATGAGATAAAAATATTTTCTATGTCATTAAAGTAAATTTTCCCGCATCACAGCACACGATCATTTCCTCAGCAGTCTCGATGCATTTTAACGCTAAGCCGGAACTGATCTTTTCAGGCTTTGTGCCGTCGAGATAGCCATCGGAAGCATCGTGAAATCACACACCGGTGTACGGAAAAGAACGTAAAAATAAAAAGAGGAATCCAGGAGTGGCAGCACGTCATCAATATACCACGGCTCACCTGTCCGTTGTGTCTCGCTAAGTACAACGCCCCTTTGTTCGACAAATAGAGAAAAAAGGAGCGGAGGGAAAAGGAGGATAGTTGTGCCTAAGATGAAAGCATCGAGAGGCGAACCTCGCGGCCGACTGGAACCCCGCCAAATAATATACCTATCCACCCTCTTCCCTCTTTTTGCTCCCTCTCCTCTCCGTGATGAGACAGCAGCCGCGTTACTATCGGCTGTACGAACACCGTTGGCTCGCCACGGTACTTTTTATATTTATTACGAGGAGGACATGAGAGAGAGAGAGAGAAGAGAGGCAAGATTATCAAGCGACAGAAACGAAGATGGAGAGAGAGAGAGAAACTGCCGCGGTGCATAGCGCAGGGAGGAGTCGGATGATTCAACCTATATTTCGGCTTTTGTCATATCGCGAAACGGTAAGCTTCTTCATCATCGTCCGAGGAAGGGGGCCTTTTCCACCTGTCGCCGTTTCCCAGATTCTCCGCGGGCGAACTCTACTCGCACACCTCTATTCGTATCTGTCACCGGCGAGTATCCGGTGAAAAAAACGGCGCAAACATCGAAAGACTTACGACTCGACGACTTGGAATTACGACGCCACGATCTTTTTATGCTTACGGTTTATAACAGCCGTGAAAAACATATATATTTGCTCAGCGCATTATTTTGCGATATTTGCGTATATCAATATCTTAATATTCTTAATCGTTCAGAAAATATTATGTATCACGATGTAAACGTGAAAAATTATCCGAGACATATAAAAGAAAAAAAGTATCGAATAATATTTTTCTGCATAATACAAGAGAAATAAAACTACATTTTGACATTATTTAGATTTATAGTTTTTTATGATTTATGTGAAACAATCATTTCTCACATGAATCTCTTAGTAAATAATTAATTCTCTTTCATCCATTTTTAATAATATATATAGGTCTAAGTACACACGTGTTTAATGTCATATGTGTAATGCTAATAATTTTTCTTTTAAAATATAATGACAACAATAAACGATAATAAAACAATGCAAAGAGAACAAATAAGACTGCTAATTATTATTTAAAAAAATTTGAACCGATTACAGCTTTTTTCGCAATTTTTCGTCTCTTTTTCGCGCCGTTCGCTTTTTTTCGCCTTCGTGTAACGAAATGTAAAAGGAAAAAAAAAAGAACGAGGAAGAAAGTAGTTCGCGGCGTGCACGAGCCGGCTCTCTCGCGTGTAGCCGAGTTAAACCGACGCGGCGGTGATTGATGACGCTTCGTTGTAACGATCGCCTCTGCACCCGCGAACGTGGCGCCAGGTTAGGTTCCACCGGGAGACACGAATGAGAGAGAAAGAGAGCCAAAGTGAAGAAAAAAGGAAAACGAGGATAAGAGGGAGAAGGCAAGGCAAGGTAAGGCAAGGCGAGGCGAGCGAGACAGATGGACATTGAAATGGACGGGGCCTCGTTATCCTCGATTTTACAGGAATTAAAGGGCCGATTACGCGCGACCACCCGCCACACCCGCGATTAAAAGACGGGAGCGGATTAAAACCGTGCCGCGCTTTTGCCGAGCTTCAAGTCCGACCGGACGTTCCTTGCCAAACCTATTTCAATTAAGGCGGGATTTCTAATTCGAGGCGATTGGTAATCAAACGTTCGATTATGCTACTGATCGATCATTAGTATATGCATTCGTTTATTATTTGTTCTACATTGCGTAAAGATGCGAATCGGATAATATAAATTTACCTATAAACGTCGCGTATTATGATATCGAAATTTCACTACGATATGCATATCGAAATGCAACCGATTCTTGTCTTCTCCGTAAAATTGTAAGACGTTGGAAAAAATAATAATTATCCTAAATAAATGTGAATTTAGCATGAACGAGAGATGGATTCGTATCACACGGTTCATTATATATTACATTATGAAGAAAGAGGATTTTGTGCGCACACAACGAGAAATCTGCACATCTCTCGCGATTCGTATGACGGTGGTAAATTTATGGCGAAATTGAAAAATTTATCGCGTCAAAAGAGGGTGGATGGAGAGAGGAGGAAGATCGGAGGACAAGAATTTCGACGGGCGAGAAATTTATCGCCCATTCCACCGAATTCGCCGTCATTCGGGCTGTTAACTGTCCCGCTGATAATGGAAATGTCTGAAGACAGTCTGGTAGATACGTATATATATATAATATATACATGTATATAAGGCAAGACAGTGACGGCTTCTCAAGAGAGGACACGACCAGGTCGCCAGTAACTAAAGCCATTAATCGCCCGCCATACTGCCTACTGCCTCGTCCAGTCATCCCTCCTTAGCGGTTCCGCCACCCTGAGCATCCACTTGCAGTGACCTCATCCCTCTGACTTCCTCCCCCAATTCTCTTCCATTCCTCGCCCTCTTCGTTCTCTCAACCACCTTTCCGTGCTCCATCTCGCATTGAGTAGCAGCCACCGTGGGCCTTGAGCTCGTCAAGTCGCCAGCTTGGAAATTGCTTTCCTCATTTATAACCAGGCCACTGTCCGACCCTTGTTCGCCTTGCCCCCTTTCTCCACGATCTTAGCCCCTTTCCTCCAATCTCCGCCCCCAATGTTCCTCCTAGCTTTGCTATCTCTCTTCGTTTTCGTATACCGCTGTGTCACTTCATTCCCTCGTCGACCATCGACCCTGTATAATCCTATCGTAGTTCTTCAATATCTTTTGCCTGCCTCTTGCGAGACGGCTGATTTTTTTATTATTACTATATATCTTAAATCTTTGACAAGTAATGGTACGCGCCATAAGGTACCGCTTTGATGGAAGAAAAATTATGATTCGTGACAGATCGCGGAAAATAAAGCCGTCTACTTTAACAATGCAGATATTTTTATATGATTTCTCGCCGATATGTTACGCAATTTTCTCTCGTTATTATTATGCGATTTCATTGACTCGACGCAAGTTTCAAAAGCACGATAGAAATCATTAGAATGACTGTAAGAATGTGATAATTATTTTGAACGGAAAGTACAATAAGGAATCGAAGCGAGATAAAATCGTTGAAGAAAGGATAAATATGCCTGTAAAATTCCCAGCCTTTCATGTGCTCGATCCAAAAATGAATTTAACTTTAGATTACATTCTGTCCGTGTGCAGTCGCGATTATCCAAAGCCTCGTGTCTATCTAATGGACTTAGGTTAACTTGGTAAACAGGATTAAGATTTCAAGCGGGTCTCGATATGATCTTTCCTTAAGAACTCAATTACACCGTACTCCCGTACTAAGGGCCAGACATAAACGGGAGAAAGCTCACATGCAACGCGACACGGGCAACCCGATTACAGAACGTTATGTTAGATGGTGGATTAAACGTGCGCACCGCGCTGCAATCAGCCGCATCAGAATTACAGAAGACCTACGGCCGATCCCGATAAAAGCGTCGTCCTCTTTCACCGCATCATTCATTTGCATCTCTCCCATTTGCATCGGGCATCGTGAGGCTCGCGAGTAAACATCCGCATCAAAGTCCCACGATCCCTTTCCCTAAATCCTATTGTACCCTCGGAATATCATTTTAGAACAGTCAACTCTCGGCGAAGAATATTAGGTCGTCACGCTTGGAACCTTCCATTTATATTATTACACAAAATCTGTTTCGTCAAATATTTTTGCACGATTACAAAGACTTTTTTCTAATTATCAAACAATAAATAAAACGGATAATCGAATACAATATTACAGAGTAAATGTTAAATCTCTTTTTTAAAATTTTTGAAAGAGCCGGGGTAAAACACTCTCGAATTTCAATTTATAAATATGTTTTACCCGAGCATTGGCGAAGCATACACAGTGACGAACGAAAGAAGGAACGAGGAAATTCTCGGCGTTACATCGCGTTACGTGTCACGGCCTCGAACGGAGAGTGGAACGAAGGCGGATGCTGTCAGGGGAACTTACGGCAGAAAGCACCGAGAGCGAGAAAGGAAGGAGGATCGAGTTGCGAACAATTATGCGCGCTCTCCTGGTATCCGCAATTACGCGGTATAGCAGCGTGTAGAAATCGACAGCCCTAGCAGCGAGAGCCTTTAGTTCTTAAGCCGACTGCAAAGAGGGGACTCATTTGCGAGGCGCGAAAGAAAGATGTTTTGCTCGAGTGGAGTCATTCGTACGGCAGATAAAGCACTATATCGAGCGTACTAAACCGTCGTATTATACACATAGTCGAGACACGAACAGCACTTGTAAACTAGAAAATTATTTTATATAATAATCCATGATGGATAATTCTACAAATTGCACAAACAATTATAATCATAATTTGTAAAGCGACAAATCTATATCTCTCTCTCTCTTCGGGGGACGTATAGTGCTTTAATATATAAGACCAAAAAACTAGAGAGAACGGACGAACGATCGTGCTATCCAGGAGGAAAATGAAGAGCGACAGACGAGCGACAAAGTAGCAAAGGAGAGTCGACGGAATCGTGCGCATTGCCGAGAAAGAAGTCAAATCAGCCCAGGAAAAAGAGAACGACACGGCCGCTATGCCAAGGAAGATACTATCTGCGTTCTCTTCGGAAATTGACGATTCGAGAAACGCGAGTTGCAAAGACAGGGAAAAGAGTAAAGAGAAGCGATAGGGGAGGAATGAGAGAAAGACGGATTGACCGGGTAGCGTCTGTCGAGAGCGATCAAAGGGAGAGAGAGAGACGGACGAAGCGAAGGCTGCTATTTATGCCGTTCGGAAATCGAAAGCGCGAACCGAAGCTGTTCCGGTGCGTCGTCGATCGAGCGTAGACGAGGAGCCGACGCTTGACGCTTTTCGAATCGAGAGGAGAGGAACGAATCGAACGAACAGCCGCGACGACCGACGGCTACGAGAGCGCGAAGTCGAGCGAAGGTAGACAAAGGATCGCCGAGTCGCGCACGGTTAGGCCGGGGTGGGTGAAGATGGGAAAAGGTTGCTAGAGAAGAGAAGAAGAAGAAGAAGAAGATACTATCGACGCCTCTCGGAAATCGACGTGCCATGGAACTGAAGGCGCGAAGAGGATGAGGACTAGGGACGAGCGAGCTGAAAGAGGAAGACAAATTGACGGAACGAACGGCTAGCTCGAATGGAATAGACGAGGAAGAAGGATGAAGGAAGTTGCTATTTACGCTCTGCAGAAGTCGCCGACTAAGAGGGCTCGTTCTCTCAACGAAGGACAACGGGAAGGAGAGACGAGGATAGAACTAATCGCGTATCATGGGCGAGAGCGAAATCAATCGGAAGGAAAGTGCTATCGATGCGCTGCAGAAAACGCTATAACTATATAATAGACGTAAAACGCAGCGAAGCTTAAGTAATCTACAAATAGATCTCGGAGATGAGAGATTATGACAAAACTGCCGTGCGTCTGGAGAGAAGGAAAGATGAAGAGTCGTCGTCCTGTCAAATAATGCGGTATTTCGAATGCTCTTCAAAAATATCTGCGAAGAAAAAAATGCAAGAGAGAATTGCATATCGGATCATCGAAAAGAAGAAAGTATCACGAGAGTTGAATCCTCGGCAATTACGTAACCAAATACTCTTTGAGCAGGTAGGATACAAGCGAACACATAGTGACAAAAATCGGAGGTATAAAGATAGGCGAAGTTACGCATGAGAATTTGAGACTCAGGCGCTTGATT